CTTGTTATGTTATTTAAATCATATATCTTTTAATTTCTATTATTGATTTGCTTATTAAGTGAGTAAAGGGAAACAGGCTTAATTATTATATTTCTTAAAGAGAAAAAAAAGACTTTTGGCCTCCCCTCCCAGACTCTAAGGGCCTTGTCTGGCTTAAAACTATTTCTGCTAACAATGGGCTGATGACCCTTATCAATAGCCGGAGGATCTAAGGAATCACCAGTTTCCATGCAATTATTGGGATTTGAAGGAGAGGGCCTTTTACCTAAAGAAAGGAGAGAAGAAAACTTAACTAGGTTTACTAAAAAGATTAAGAACTCTGTAAGAGATGTCTCTTTTCATTTCCTGCTAAAAGATTAAGAATTTTATGTGACTTCCTGTATGAGAGCCTCAGGTTACCCTTGACAAGGAAGAGAAAAAACACTGAATTTTTACTACATACTTGAGCTACCCACTCTGTCCTGACCCATCCTATGGGCCTCTCTCCAATGCTAACTGCACAGTGACAGGAATAAATAGCCAGCCTAACTTAACCCAATTTACTTTTCCCATTGTGAGACTGAGACTAGCAATGAATTCTCTGCCACATATCAGGACCAGGGTCTGGTGCAGAGAGTCCCTCATCCAAGGAAACTGGGACACAGCCAAAAAAGGGGGCAGTCCCCTTGCCCATCACACAAAACGTGTTTGTGGGAAACCTAAGGCTAAACCATTCTAGATGACCCACTTCTATGTCAGAGTTTCCTATGAGCAGAGCAGCTCCCTCCCTGTGATCTATTGAAAGTCAGCCATCAATGCAAACAGAGAGGGCCCTACCAAGTTTTGTTAAGTTCCCCAACTGCTGTCAATTTACAAGGAACTGCTGGGTACATTTGTCTTGAATTAAACCAGTTTCTTATGAGTCCTCACAGGTTCTTCCAGAAAATGAAATGGGAATTGTGACCTATTTCTTTGAACCTGTGGAAGATCTTAAGCTCTTGTTCTGGAGAATAGATAAGTCCACATGTCCTAGGGAATCAGAGAACTTTTCCGAATAATTATTCTTTTAGCTTAGTGTCTATACCACTACTCTTCAAAATGATTCAATTTCCTTTCACTAGCTTCTTTACCTTGAATTAACAAACTTCCATAAAAAAGTAAGTTCATCGTCAATTACCTCTACTATTAATTTTGACTTTTGTCTTTTCAATCTTTTTGCTAAATTTATATCTTCTAGGCTGCAAGGCTTCCTACCACTTCTACATGCTGCAACGACCTCATGCTCTCGGCCTCTGGGGCCCTTAGGATAGGCTTCCAGAGACTTTTATTCCTAGTAGGTAGAGACTACAACCCTATCTCAGTTTTGAAGAAGTTGTAGAAGACAGACCTTCTTGTCTCAACATCCCCTTAAAAATAAGGGAATAAAATCTCTGAGGTGGGAATAATGTAGGGAGGAGTCAAGAAAACTAAAATGTTGATCAAGCCACAATCAGAGACTGCATTAGCCCTGTATCTAGGCCAGAAGGACACCTTCGGAACAAAGGAAGATTTCTGCTGGAATTGCTAACGATCCATTCTCTACACCTGTGAAGGGGAAACAGGAACCCAGTGTCATTCCCTATGGCTAAAACCATGGAGGAACCCTGGATTTAAGGGTGGAAACTGCCAGCAGGCCTTGCACTCTACATACTCTTACCTTTTCACACTATATACTTTCCCCTTCCTCACTGTATGTCCATATCAAAGAAAATGAGAACTAAAGAATGACTTATAAACTGAATTCCCTGAACACACAGGGTCCCTCTCAGTGCCTTTATTCTATCTTTCTCCTGTCCCTCTCACTCTCTGCCTCTGTGAGGAGTGTGCTGAAAAAGTAAGACAAGTAATCAGGTTCCATCCCACGCCTGTAGCTAACTCACCAGCGGAAGAAAACTCAGTGCATTTATGTAACCTTGTGCCCAGTACATGTGCACAGGCTCCCATTATCTGGCAGTGTGCCACTATTTTACTGTTTAACCAGTGTATAAAAGGCGCTACTGCCATGCTGGAGGTGTGCCATGCCCTTGCTGGAGAACTGCTGCCCTGTGAGGCAGTCTGTGCCCCTGCTGGAATCAAGAGCTATGTTGTAGTTGCCTACAGCCCCCTGCATTTTATTCCAGCTGCCTCAGTCTCATACTCCTTATCTCAGAACCTCGAACCTGTAGCAACACACTTGGCATAGTCACAGCAGGATTCTCAGGTAAGGGAGCTATCTGCCCCACTGGAGGACAGGAGAGACATGTGGCTCCCAGAGAGTATGTGGTATCCTGTGGTGGTGGTATTGATGACTGGGACCCCACATGAGCCACGGGAAGAAGTCTATAGGTCTCTGATAAATATTGAGAAGGCCCTCTGCTCCTTGGAGGTGCAGCTGCCAGAAAAAACCTGAGCCACAGTTGGCAGAGTGGGCTGGGTGCTTTTAACAGCTTTGAAGCAGAATATGAAGCTCTAGCAGAGACCGCACAGGTAGAGAAACTGCAGCAAAAGGCAGATGCCTTGGACACAAGGGTGCAACGACTGAAAGCTGAGCTCTAAAGACGTCCACCCTCGGAGTCACCCCCAGAGTCAGGGGACTCCCAGAGCATGTGAGTAAATGGCAAACATATGCTAAATTAGTGCAGATTATTCATGAACTGGGCATGAGACAGGCTATGTTTAATTTGAATACACAGGGACTGGATGATGAATGATTTATGACTGGCATGTGGGACCTAATGTTAGGAACCACCCTCTCTACTGTTTTTAGCTCGTTGGCTGCTATCCTGGCTCCCAATGTGGGGAAACGTATACATGAAGTGACTACAGCAATGGCTGTTCTGGGGGATGTAGAGGGGGCAAAAGTGTCCGCAAAATAACACCCAGACCCCAAAGGGGCAAGAAGAAAAGGAAATTTGGGGCAGGGTCCTGTCCAGGTGACCTGAATGCAAATGTAGACCGATTTGTGAGCTGTAGGAATTGATAAAGACAAGCTAGACCACCAGTCTAATGCAGTGTTGCTAGAGTTGTAACAGCAGTTGAAACCTAAGCAGCAATTTAGGCATGGGCAGAAACCTCCCACTGAAAGAGCCAGGCCTATGGCCTTGAAGGACTTTTTGAAACCCTAGGACTCTCTGTTGATCCTATATGATTAGGGAGAAGGCTGAGGTGCCCGTTTGGAGGGGATAGGCAGGGATCTGAGGCTGCATGTAGAATTAGCAATCCACTGATCTCCAAACAAGGTGCAAAGAGTCCTAGTTCTAGTGGATACTGGGGCTGACCACAGTTTTATCTATGGAAATCCAGACAGATTCTCTGGACTAGCCGCCTATGTAGATGGCTGTGGGGGAAAGACTATTGGGGCCAAAGCTGTAACTTTGCCTCTTGGAATAGGACATTTGCCTCCACATCCATATAAAGTATATATTTCTCTGGTGCCAGAATATATCCTACGGGTGGATGTATAGCAAGGGCTCAATCTGCAGACTTCTGCTGATGAATTTCACCTGCGAGTCTGGGTGGTAAAGACTGAAGTGTGGGGATGTACTCATCACCCGCCACAGAAAGTGCCAGAACCAAGGCGCATTGTCAATGTTAAGCAATATCGCTTGCCTGGTAGACTTGATGAAATCAGGGTTACGATTCAGGAAGTAGAGAAAGCTCAGATTGTGCTCCCCACCCATAGTCCATATAATGCCCCTATGTGGCCAGAGAAGA